GAGGAAATAAAGTGTTAGGTTCCTGCGAGCCTCTGGTCACAACACATTCTTCAAAAGAACTGTAAAAACATTGTTTTAATGACACCTTATATAGTATACAGTTGACATATAAACGCCAATACTACTATAATGCACACTTAAACATAGCTTATCCAACACACGTATTTTCTATTAAAGCTCATCACAGCCTTCTTACCCTTAACAACCCTAGAAAGCTCTTTAGCACTATGCTTGGGAACCATTTTAAACAATGAACTCACCAACAAAAGGCTCAGAAATATGAAAAAATGTGGTGCTAAATAGGCTGCAATAAGGACATTTATTTACATTGTAAGAGCTGAAACAGGAAATCGGAGTGTCGCCCCTTGGGACCTCAGCTGCAAACCTGCACATTGGGTGACTCGAATTTTTCACCACTCTGCGCACATACACAGATGGCCATGAAAATACCACGCATACTAATTCTGGTATTACGAATACATTTTAGCAAGTAGGCAAATTGACAACTGTGGAATCTGTGAATGAGGGTTGACTATGTTTATTACTAAGCAAAACAATTGGCCCTTTTTAGAATTTTAAGTATGAAATAGTAGAAATCATCTAAACCCAGTATGTTTTAGGAGTTGGGGTGAGTAAAAAAATGATGGATTTCTGCAATACATTTTCAAAATTTAGACAAAGACTTACTATTATCTTAGTTTCCATCATACAGTTGAATAGAGTTTTGTAGTTTCCTAGAAGTTTTAGAACTATCTTACTGGGAATGTAGAACATATTTCTATGATGTAAGCAATACATTTAGCATGTAATTCTTATTTGTTATATAAAGAAATCTAATATCAAAGAGACTATATACTAGAATCTCAAATTTATGTGTTTTGGCTCTCAGTAAAATAATATTTTAATATGTTATATATTTTTATATTCAATATATAATTATATATCATATAATTATGTATGATATAATATACATTATTATACAAAGTTTATTAACTGAGACACTTTTCTTTCACTTACCTTACTTTATTATTTGAGCATCTCACACATATACATTTTTTTTGTTTTGCAGTCTATATTATCCAGTTTAAAAAATATTTTTAAATTTGTGCCATGTTCAGGCATTGATGCTCTATAATTCAAATTATTATTATTTTTTAAAAGAATTATACTGTAATTTGTATATCCCAGATTGTAAGAAGCTTTTCTGTTACTCAAGATTAAATCATACAGACTGAAAAGTGATGAACTCAAAGATGTCAGGTTTTATTCTCTTGAAAACCTGGACATATTTCTTTTAATATGTTCTTATACAATATGTTCATATATGTTCATATGTATATATTTCTAGCATGTTGTATCAGTGCATCTGTGCCTTGAACAAATGCTTGTAAAATACCATCAGTATCTGCTCCATCATTAGCCTGCTGGGAGAACAACAATAGACTTTTTTTTTNACATCTCCTAGTTATTATTCAGTGAACTTCAGATACTGATCAACTATCTTCATTCATTTAAGTAATATTTATTGATCACCAACTATTTTTAATATAATTTCTTCCCTCAAGTAAATTATAATTTATTCATTTAGCAAATATTTACAGACTGACTACTATGTTGTAAGTGCTACACAGTGAACAAAAGAGACATTTTATATTATAGAATAATGGCAAAAGCAAACAAAAGCAAGCAATGTAAGTGTACCACCAAGCGATTTCTTTAATGGATTAGCATGTCTGAGTAGCCTCATTGCCATCATGTGATAGGCAGCTCACCATCCATCCACAGAAGTAATTTACTTTCAAATAAATGTTGATGAAATACATTGTCATAAAAATTATAATGAATATAGAAATATATCCCTGCTAACAGCCTCAAAATTGAGATTTATTTTACTTACATGCCATTGTGTATTCAGTGTTTCATGTCCAATACACTTTTCATTTTCCAAAGCTTATTGATGAGTCAGAGAGACTGCATATTCACGCATTC